CCTTCAAGTTTCTTGCGCTTTCCCTCCTCTTTTTCGCTTGCCATACTATCCAATAGATCACAATAGGTGCAATTGTTAGCATCGTGGTCACTATCATTATTATTACAATTGTCATTTACTGAGCAACTTATCAATCATTTCGAAATAAGCCGAAAGATCTTCATCACCGTTATTATTACGTGAGTTGCTATCATCTGCAACGAATCAATGTTTAGTTAATTACGTGGAAAAACAAGGCGGGATAAAGCTTAGCGATTAAAATAAGAAATTCATATTTAGTAGTAAAAGACTATACTAGATACGTATGCAAATACAATAAAAAAAAAAAAAATTTTTTCGGAAAAGTAGGAGAAGATTTTTTTGATAAAGAGGAAAAATAAAGGATTTCATGTTCGTCTTGGAACGAATTTTCAAGATGATCCCTTCCGTGCCACTATGTAATTGCAAATTTAATCTGCGGCAAGTACAAAACATTTTTTTTTGAATAATATAAGCGCCATGGTCCGTTCTGGTCGGACTTCCTTATCAAATTTTATCATTACGAATGTGTATGTTCCATAATACTGTATTTTAGAAAATGCGTACGTGATTTCGCCAAGCTATTTCGTTACAACCTAATTTCGTGTTACACGAGTATACTCGTTATCGCTACGGAGTTGGTCGCATTATCGAAAACTTGAAAGCATCAATATTACCCCGAAAGATGTGCGGAGAGTAGGACACTCACAAAAGGAAGGCTAAGGAGTCTCGTACGCCTACAATAAAAAAAAAAATAAAAAAGCTCATAAGCTACGTTTTCCTGCTTAATTTATTGCCCTGCGATTAAGAACCATTATAGACGCAACCTTCAGATTCTTCCCTTCCAAAAATGATATCCAGCACGTGATAATATGGGCAAAGTTTATTTAAATAATCTACAAGAGAAGCAGATACATTAATACGTATACCTATATATACATATGTATATATTTATAGGAGAAATTCAAATTCTAACCTTTAGCTGCTTTTTCGCCTCCAAACGCCCGTATAATTGATTCGGAATCATACGACCATTTTCGTGCTTCTATAAATAATAATGTAGCCTATAAGCTTGCATTTTATTTTTCAAAACAATCCAGCATTTCTTTTGCAATTTGCGGTGATTTTCTTATAAAACTTTTGTGGTGTGGGTTTCTGCTTCGAAAGAATCATTGAATGAATTGTGTACACTTAATAATAAAATGGAAAAAGAAGGACTTGCCTCAAAGCATTTTCGATGTTTTTTAATTTCTTCTAAACTTCTTCAAACTAATTTTAGCAATTGATATTGCGAGGTTAGTCAGTTTCCCGTTTTGGATGAAATCTAATGCATGGCGCACCCTTGACGAATCCCTCTAATTTATAAGAATATAATTTGTTGACATCATTAGCACGGTCTTCTTTCAATACAAATTTTTGAAGCAGCGACTATCTTTTTCGCCAATAGCAACTTTTGATTTGCTATGCCCTACTTGGCTAAAGAATTTTTCATAAACTACGAAAGAAACAAAAACATCTTCGTGCACGTCCTTACAGTTCTGGATTAGAACCTGAATGCAGGTGCCCATGCCTTTCCCTAAACCAAACTGATTACTGCCAAGTGATGAATCGCATTTACTATATTATACAATTACTCTTAGGAATATTTTCAGAACAGGATTCATTGACAACATAAGGACTTTTTAATCCTTAATCCGCGCTTACTCCCTCGGCAGACAGAGTGCCGCGCTGTTCACTCCTTTTATGATATTTTGTCGGTGTTCACATATAAAATAAATGGAGAACTAAACAAGCTAGAATAAAAATCTCAATCAATCAGTCAGAAGTTCCATTCCAGTCCCGTTATTGCCAATCCATTTTGTGGTGAACTAAATGTTTCTCTGTATTTTGAAAGCAACTTCTGTTAAGCATAAGAATTTTAAATTTGCTTTAAAACAGTTTCCGCCATTAAAAAAAATTATGGATGAAAAAACCTTAAAATTTTACGTGCTTATTCTTTAAAGGCACCATAGATAATACGCTTATTTTTTAAAGGCACCATAGATAATACGCTTATTCTCAGATTCTCAGGCAATTTTTATTGAGAAGTGTAAACAAACGTATATGTTTATTCTCGCCTGGTTGGCATTTTTATACAAATTATAATACATACTAAAGAAGCGAGAAATGATTATATTATTATATTTTATTTATTATATTTACATAACATAAAAATACCTATGTACACATATGCATATGCTTCAAGGCTCTTCAACTCCATGCAAGTTTAAATTAGTTTTGCTGTTTTTTCGCATTTTATTTAATTAATGACATTTGGATGTATTTTTCTTCTCATTGGTCTCTTTTTGCTATTCAAATACTTTGTAGTTATAGCTTTTTTAGTGTTTATATATAATGTAGCTGTTGTGGACAAACTCTTACTATAAAGCACATTCTCTGCGACTGCCTCAACTTTTCCTTGGCTAGAAGTATTGCATTTGGAACGATTAACCCTTTGTACATTCTACAACCAACTTCAGAACAGATTAATATTTTACTTTATTAATACTACTAAGCTTATTATCTAATATACATTTTTTTAAATTAGAGCCGATAGCCTGTGTTGCTAGTGCTCAATGTCTCTTTTTTTAGTCTAAGAATTCAATTCATTAGTCTAAAATTAAAATAATAATAATAATATATATAATGTATATTATTACATTTTTTCTTTCAATAAATGTATGAATACATTTTTGTATACATTTATTTTCCATCATAAACTTAAATCTTTTTTTGAACGGTTTACTACTCATCAGAAAAATCTTCTAGACCATAAAATAGGGCAAAATCGAACGCCAGGTCTATAAAAATTATATAAAACTATTCAGGAGGCGTACAAGGGGAGATAAATGCTTATTTTTTATACATTTATATATACAAGATTATATATTATATTTCAAGCACTTGTACGAATATATGGTAAGAGTTAACAGAAAATTTTTCAAAATAGGGCAAAATCGAATGCCACGCCTATAAAATATGTTAAAAACTATTTAGGAGACGTACAAGGGGAGATAAATGCTTATTTTTTATACATTTATATATATAAGATTATATA